AAGTAGCTGTAGAAGCTCGAACAATAAGTGAGCGCAAGCAAGCTACACAAATAACTCTGCTTAGATAAGGGCTTCCGTGCTGCCAACAACAACTAATATGCATAAATGTAGGTATATGTATATGATACGTGAGTACCTAGAAGTGAACACGCTGCGGTAAGGTTAAGTTTCAACACTTTTAGGGTAATGGAGATTCTTAAAGTATTTGTATGTACTGTTACTTTTTGTTTTTAAATCAAGTTAAAGAAGCTAGAACACGTTGCTTTTGTAACCTAAAGCAATAGCTATGTTAGACTTGGCGTGTTGGTGGTGGAGAAGGCAGTTAAGATGACGAAAACCCTTAGATAACATTAATATATTAAATAGTTCAACAAAATTTTAAACTTTGGTTGCACCGAATATTCTTTACAAATACAAAATATGCCTTACAATCACTTGATTTCGATCCTTTAGTTTGTATGGCAGCAATATGCTATAGTGATCCGATATTAATAATTTCTTCGGAGATTACAATATTGCCTTAGATGAAATGAAAAAGCTTTTCATGCAAGCACTTGATTTCGATCGTTCGGCTTGTATGGCAGCTATATGCTCAAAAATCGTTTTCTGGTGAGAAAAGAACGTGTGTAAAATTTCAGATCGATATCTGAAAAGCTGAGAAAATAGTTTGCGTATAACAGTTTACTACAGACAGACGGACATGGCTATATCGATGACGAGCTACATGCTATTCATTTATATACGTATTTAGGGTCTTCGACGTTTTTTTCTAGGTTTTACAAACTTCGTGGAAAACGTAATATATCCTGTTCAGGGCATACAAACAAGTTAAATACTCCAATAAATATTTGAGATATTTTTAATCAAATTATGCTTTTCCGCTGGAGTTTTTATGACTTTTTTGAGCATTTCAATATATATTACATATATATCATTTGAAATAACTAGGTTGATTTTAATATACATAAATATCTCGGACCCAAAGCAAAATATATTAGTAATGAAACTAGAACAGTATATAATCTATACGATAAGTTTTAAAGATAGCAAATATGATTGAAAACTTTTTTGGCTTGCTTCGCATAATGCCTGCTGAATTTTTTCGCATTTTTTTTTAAAAAAAGTTTTGCAATCCCTGAAAGTATTTTTCCGGATATTTTTAAAATTTTATTTTTTGTATTTTTATTTTTGTATTTTTACTTCTATGGTCTTTTTTCATATATTATATGTATCACATTCTCTTACTACATTTTTGTCAAGCATCAGTTGCGAAAGTGTGTGTGAGAAATTTCCCATAAGCGAACAGAAAACCCAATTGTACAACATTAAAGTACTCTGGCGCTTAACACTACTTGGTAGCATACATTACACAACTCAGGGTATGCGAATATCGATTTTGTCAACATCATTTGACTAAAACTTTGTCACAAATTTGCAATGGACTTTGCGAGCTTATCTCAATTCTTCTGCTATTTTCAGGGAAATTTCACACAAGTGTCCAAAAAAATTCGAAGAAGAGAAACTGCTGTGGCTACATCAGAAACATTATTCACCCTATGATGAACAATCACACATAGTCAATTTGGCATAGGGTCTGCTGAAATTGAAAACAACCAATTTAGGGTAACTGTATTCAACTTGTCAACAAAACGCCCAAAAGCTTTCCGTTGTTTCATTTGCTACCAATTTAAGCATTTTAGTATGCAAATGTGTGTGTTGGCGTTAGGGCATAGGTGGAATTTTAACCAAATTTGTTGGCATTTATTTTTGTTTGTGTGAGCTTTTTTAAATGGTTTTTTTTCCGGTATGGTCACGGAAAGCTTTTTAAGTGCCATTTTAGGCATTTTTTCACACTTGAGTTGTATTGTTGGTCATCGTCAATTAGTTTTTTGTTATGCACATTATGTTTTATTGTGGCAGTGTGTCTCAAAACAATTAAACTTTAACGTTTAACTTTTCTTTCATTTTCACCTATTTTACAAATGTGAATTTTGATTTCTCTTTACATTTTGCTTTTAAGGAATAATTTAAAATGATTTTTGATGACGATGTTTTTTTTAAGACATACTAACTTTTGCATTTGTAATTTTGTTCGGGTTAATTATTTTATAAGTAAAAGTTCATTTATTTATCTTCGTCTTTTCCACTATTTTTATACCATAAACAGGGTGTATGAAGGGTATACGAAGTTCGTAACACTTAGAAGGAAACGTCGAGAATCCTATAAATGTATATATATAAATGATCAGCATGACGAGCTGAGTCGAATTGTTGCTATGTTCGTCTGTCCGTCTATATACCTATATGCAAACTAGTTCCTCACTTTTTGAGATAATAACTTGAAATTTTCCACAGGTTCTCATTTATCGGAATCGCCAATTTCGGTTCACTATAGCGTATAGCTGCCATGTAAACTGACCCATGCAATTTCTGAAAAAATTGTTCTGATCGGATTACTATATCATATAGTATACATATTAATTGAACGATTGCAAGCAAGTGCTTGTGATTATATTATAAAGATTTGCTTTAAGATAGCTTTGGAAGATCTGAAAATTGCCAGTCTGATAGAATCCTTGCTGTCTATTTCTATATCAGTCCTTCTGCTTCTAACACAAACCCGGTTTTTGTTTAAGATAATTTCGATGCCGATGTCCGAGAGGATCTCTATTGCACCCGCTGTCGTTCATTTACTCTGTGAGCGTCGGTCACTCGTTGGATGTCTATTGCTGCTATGTATGTATGTTATATATATATGAATAGGTTACCTCAACGTCTTAGTGAAAATTGTAATGCTTATTGTTCTTAAGTCTTTTTTGGATCTCCTCTTGCCTCTTCTCTCTCTCAACTATTCTAACACTTTATTTTCCTTAAACCAAGAGTGGGATGAATCAGTTACTTATGAAAAAGAGTTTAAATATATTGTATACACAAAAGTTTAGATTCTGATGCTAAATTTGTTTCGAAGTGTTTTCTTATCACACTGCTTGAGCCTGAACTCTGCACTGCGAATATATATCTGGATATATTCTCATCTTCAGAAATCACTCATAGTTACTGCTCTTTAATCGCTAAATTATTCTCTAAATCTTTTACTGTGCTTCGAACCCGCTTATAACGTGCCGCGTCATGTTGAACGTAAATTATTTTTATACATTTGTGATTTATATTTAGAACAGAATGGGCGAGTTCAATATAAATAAATCTGCATATCCTGAGAAACAATTTACTTAAAAAGAATTTCGAAAAAATTTGAATGATTTTTTTTGGGCTTGACTTTTTTATTTAAGCTATTATTTAAGAAAAACATATACGTTGTTATTGTTCAAAGTATTGACCATTTGAAACTTCAACATTTTCCCATCTTGCTGGCAATTTGTGGAGTCCATCCTAAAAGAACACCGCCGACTTGGTGGCCAAAAATAAATCAAGCCAATTTTTGATACCTCTTTCTGATGTGAATCGTATTCCAGTGCGGGCGTTCAGAACAAATAGTAGTCAGCATGGCCAAGGTGTGGGCTATAAGGGGGATGAGGCAAAATCCTATCCCTTGTTTTTAAAATAGTTTTTTTCAGCAATTGCTCGCTTCAATTTTATGTGTTGTTGTCGTTAGCGTTCCCAATTAATGGTTTCACTCGGTTTTAGAAGTTCATAATACAGCACGCCTCTTTGATGCCACCAAATACCGATGAAGTTCGATATTAAAGTAATGAAGAAAAACTCACTGCAGTAACGATTTTTTAGCCACAAAGTTCGACATGTTTGATTAGATTTAATTGACTTAATTACCTATTCCGTGAAATCATACGCTTAATATGTATATTTTTTTAAATATTTGTATAATAACACGAACCCATTCAATAGACATCCACGAGAGGCACGTCAACGAGTGACCGACGCTCACAGAGTAAATGAACAACAGCGGTTGCAAAATCATCGAGCACTGGCACGAGTATCGTTTAATCGCCTTGCGTTTGAATATGACCCTGAAATAGACTATTCATCACATTCGCTAATCATGATTGGTAGTATGGACAAAAAAGTTTCGAATACAAAATATAATCGGCCGGTTTATGTTGCGCATCTTAAAAAATATTACACTGCCATCCCTAAATCCGCCACCAGAACCTTTGAACACTTTATAAACTGGAAACACATCTCAATCAAAGTTGTTTTTGTGTAAAATTCGTAAATGTTGGGTTCCCTAGTTTTCTTATAAAAAAAGTGAAAGAAAAAGTTCAAATTCCAATTTTTCTATTTAATAATATTATTCTTTTTATTTAATGCTATAATAATATCCAGCTATTTTCTAAATTAGGCATACAAAGTTCAGAAGTTTTTTGTTTAATATTTTGTAAAATATATTTTTATAAATATATGCTACATTTACAGAGTTTCCATATTTAATTGCAGATATTTAAATAACATTTTTATTTATTTTTATTCATTATAATGACTTAAGTTTACTATTAATTACATTAGTTTTAAATTAAATTATAATTTCTTTTAGTCGTTTTGTTAATGAAAATAATTATAACTAATTTGTTAATTTCAATTTAACTAAAAACAATTCTGTTCAAACAAGTTAATCTTTCGATGTAAGGCATAAATTCGTTTTCCTCTACAATGAGTTGCTTGAATTTAAACTAATGGATCAAATGAGTACACTTAAGTATGTAAAAAAAACAAGATTTATTTTTGTGGTAAAGAATTTGTCTAAACAGTGTTTTTAGTTGAATTAAAGGTTAGTTGTTGGGTAAGCAAATGACTTTGCTTGAGTTTCAAATAAATAAATAAATAAATAAATAAATAGAAAGTTAGATAAATAAATTTGATAAAGAAGACAGGTAACTAAATAAAGAAATTATTTAATAATATAATTTAAATTTATTAACGGAAAAAATTTTCTGAAATTTTTGTTTAATTTTTTTTTTCAAAAAATATTATAATTTTTGTTTTATTTTTTTTTTCAAAAAATACTATAATTTTTTATTAAATAATTTGTCAAATAAATATTATTTTAGAAATGCCTAAATAAATTATAGACTCATAAATAAATAATTCAATAAATAGTTTGGGCGCTTAAAAGTATGCAATAAATATTTTAGTGTAAAAATAAATTATAAATAACTCAACGCCTGCTTGCTACTTCATACAATTTGTGTTTGTAAAATTAACTAACAATATAATATTTATATGTTTTTGTTGCTTCAATTGCGTAAAATTACTTTAACACTAAGACAAAACATCAAATTGCGTTTAAACATTCAGACTAATTAGGCACAATTTTTTTATTGCATTTTAGCTATGAAATTACACGCAATTTCTCTTAACCCACCCAAGCCCCAGTTGGAAAATTATCTAAAATTTTGTTGTTGTTGAAAATGCTGCGATTTCTATAAATATAATGCGCTGCGTTTGCTCTCAAGTGTCGCCGAATGCTGTGCATTGCGCCAAAAAGTATGCTATTAAATGAAAACAATACCTGTAATCATTGTATAGCATAGATTTAAGTGGAAAATTGCGTGAGCGCCAAAGCTACGGGCTTTCATTAAGGTAACAAAAAAAAAAAATAAAACACTGCATACCCGCAGGCGCTGACCTGACAAGAGACATATTAACGGTAGCTATTTTGGGAGCACAGGCTTTTTTACAAGCTTTGAACATTATGCGCGAAAAGCAGGTGTAAAAAATCTTAAACTGTGAAAAATGTAAATTTCGCTACCGTGCAGTATTTATGTATGTGAGAAGGTACACCTTTCAACCGTCTAAACATAATTCCATTAATAATTTTTCTTCGTTTTGTATAACTGAATTTTTGCGCTATTTCTCATTTCGCGCGCTCGCTGCTGTGTATGTGTGTATTTTCTCGACTTACAACGGCATATTCATTTCGACGCTTGCTTTTCGCCAACTTTTAAATCTCATTTTGCACACATTTTCTTTGTTTGCTTTTTACATTTTCGCTATGTTCACATTTTTACATACATTTTTCTGTTTTTTTTCGTACACATAATTTTCACTAACTTTATATTTACTATGGTTGTTGTTGTGCGCTGTTTACACGCACTTATATACTTATGTACCATAATTATATTCGTTTTTATATACCTAGCTAACTGTATTTAATATGTATAATGACAATGTTGGTATTGTTATTGCTATTGCGTTGCTTTATGTACTTTTGTTTTTGTTGCTCGAGTGTTGCTTTTCGCTGTGCACGTTATTTATTTGACACCCGTTATGCTTCGCAGCCACGGTTTGTAGAATGTCGTACGCATATATACACCGGGCAGATATGGCGCCGCACATTTGATACCGTGCGATACAGTGCCGGCTAATTCGTAACGACCGTCGGGTCGCTGCAGCACCAATGGACCACCGCTGTCACCCTGTTAGTGTAGAAGAAAGGTGGGAAGCAAAAATTGTGTTTTTAGTAGTTTTATAATTTAGTGCGACGTTGCCATTCTTTTTCAATAATAATGTTTTTTTTTCGAATAATAATATTTTTTTTTGGTAAATAATAATATTTGTTTTTAATATTTTTGGTTTTTAAGCAATAATCAATGTTTTCAAGCAAACATTATTTATTTTAAAACATCAATTATTTTATTAATACTTTTTTTTCAATAATAAAAACTTTTTAATAATATTTTTGTAACAATAACAACTGTTTGATAAATAATAAAATAAATTATAATTCCGTAGAGTGGATGTATAAAAGTTGTTTACTAAAAGTTTACTATTTTGATGAAAAGGACACTCAAAAAATTACTAAGAAATAAAGCACAGATTAAAAATTCTAAAATTCTCAAATGTAACTGTTATTGAAAATAATTAGTTTTATTCAAAGTTTTTTTTTTTTTTAATTAACTAATATTTTTTATTTAAGAGGCTCATTACCTATTTATATAATTGTTTATATAATTAATATATTTGTATTAATAAGTTTAAATTTCCATATAAAATTTTGTAAATCACTTGTGTTGCCACCTACCTCACACGAGTCCTTTTGCCCATTTGCATAGCCGGCACACAGGAATGAGCCCAGAATCTTTTTGTTGTGTCCCGCCGTGTGGAACATCTCCTGACAGACGCTGTTCTCAATTATTGGCACCTATAAATGTAAAATACGCAAAAAGATACAATCAAAAATAAGTAAGGAAATTCGGATATTTTTGCTCATTAAAAAATAAAAATAATAAAATATTATTAAGTTAATGCTAAAACATTAACAAAATGATAATAAAATAAAAGTAATTATTTATTTGAAGTAAAAATTAATAAAATTAATGAATAAGCTAAAAATTTCATTGGAGTGTTTTCGTAATTACGCTCTTGTTTCACACATGCCGACTAAAATCTCACTTTGATTTAAAAAAATTTTCATTGAAGTAAAATTTTATATGTAGGTCTACTCCTATATATAGGTACATTTATAGCAATATCTCATCAACAACTTACCTGAACTTCCTGCAAAACAGAGGGCACGCCGCCGCCATACTTGAGACGTCCCCAACCGGTGACTGTCGCCATGCGACCGGTGAAGTCTGCTAGATCGTTGGGCATACAAATTGGCACTAAAAATTTTGTAATAAAATAAAGATAGAAAACAATTAGATATAAATTGTAACATAGGTTAGTAGTGCTACTGAAATTTTATTAATTTAAATATTTCCATATGTACCATATGTAGTACCAAAAATGTATATTTCAGGATTAATGAGTTTATTCAAAGCTTAGTCAAGCTGTAGCTAAAATTGTCTGCTAAGAGTTTAATATTAAAAACAAGTGTGTTCATTATATAACACTGCATGAGGTTAGAATGGAAAATATGGTGTTGGTAGAGTCGACGGTGCGTATACGCAACATGCTGAATTTGAAGCTGAATTATATTTTACTATAATATTAGCTAACCTAAAGGCTGGCATTTAGTGTAAGTCCCATGTAGCATTTTTTACAAGTAGGTACAATATCCCGTCACAGAAACCCCTAAGCTCAATGAGTTAACTACTAAGGATCATATCAAGTACCTGATTAATTTTGGACAGGAAATCAAAGTGGAAACTCAATGTGGAAGAGAGGGTGAAATAGCCCAGTGGTGCTCTCTATGCATGTAAGAAGTTGCTAGGGTCAAGATGGGAATATCACCTGTCTTTATGTATTGGTGTTATACAGCGGTAGTCAAGCTACGATGCTTTAATATGGAAGACTCCTGCACATGTAAAAACTCATATCGTTGGAGTGAATATAGCAGCTCACTGATATTTAAATAACGGTAGCACAAAGTGAGTTTTCTAAAAGAACCTGTGGGCATAGCTCGATAGGTAGGAGGTCGGTAAAAAAAATAGTTCACATATCCTCTCGCTTTATCTAGGAGAGATGATTTCAGTCAGGTGGTGGTCAGGATAGCGCAGGTGCACGCGACCCACCAGCGAAACTTTCAAAATCTACACGATCTAGGATGATGGAGTGAGTAGCGGTATCTATTGCGCAGAAATAGACCTCAGGCGACGATTCAAGCTGCCTGAATACTGCAGTATCTACCAGGCAGAAGTCTTCGCGGTGAGGAAAGCTGCTGAGATATCTAATAACACAGAACGCATTGCGTCAGAGAATGTCCTTAGAAGCAGGTAGGCAGTAGTGGCTGTCGGAAAGCAGCTACATATATACTGAGTTCCAGGCCACAAGAGCGTTCCGAGAAACAAAATAGCTGATAATATTGCTTAGCAATTAAAAGTGCTTATCCGCCAGTTCAGGAAATAGACAAGTCGCTAATGTCTAGAACTGGGCTTAAATATCTAGATGCTTCACAGTTCAAGCGCCTGGATAAATTATAAAACTTCATAAAAAGCGTTGACGGCCTGCACAACGTAGACTTCAACGAACCTCCATTTGGCATTATGAAGGACTTATAGGTCTATATATGGCGTGACAGCCAGCCACAGCCTATAATTCAGTACAAATAATTAAGACGGGACACTCTGCTTAAGAATATAGAATAATAATCGAAACTTCTCTCGATTTATGAGGTAAGCAATATAAGCAATAAAATTTCTTCAACCTTAAAAAGACTGAGAGCTATAACTTATTGATTTTTATACAATTATTAAAGTATTAAAGATAATAGAGGGCTAAAAAAATCTATTTGTTCGAGTAATTTGTTCGTGCAAACATAAATAATAATATTCTGATCGAAGACTATACCAATAAGAAATCAGATGCAAAATTAAATGTGTATGTGAGATCGCTGGTAATGAATAAGATCGACTTTGAACATTTTTGATATTCAGATAGATTTCTTACCGCTTTTCTATAACTATTTATGACTAAAATCAGGACAGAATAATTTGTCGGGTATTTTTTGTGTACAGATTTATTATCATACATACATTTAAAATGAGTTCATTTCAAATATATATAAGGGAAAAAAGTTAAAAAATATTTTCGAGGTTAGTACATCCGTCGAAAATTGGTCGACTTTGGGTTGTGTATGAATTTATTTCTATAATCTTAATAATAAACAAGCAGATGCGCACAAAAGTATGTTATATACTAACATTTTAAAAATATAATTAATAAGTGGGAGTATTCTTAGTTTTTTTATAATACTTAGAAAGGCTTGCTCCAGGTGATTTTCGCACGAAATATGAATGCAAATATATTTAAAATATATCAGTCTTATGTATGTAGCTTATATGACATCGTTCTGTTTTCCAACCCATGCAAATACTTTATGTTCAATCTTTTGTTGCACACATATAAGCACAGTTATGCATATACTTGTATAACGGAAATCCGTCACCCACTTGTGGTTGTTGCAAAATATTCGCAGCAACCATGGAGGCCGATTACATGTGTGTAGTATACTGCCGTACTCATACTGCATGCCGTAGTATACTGTTACATATTTATGCTACGTAATATTCTTGAGATTGCAAGTGGAATCTCACTCCACTTTGCTGTTTTTGTGAGGGCTTGCGGCAAAGTTTTTGTGTCCGTTTGACGTACTTAATTGTTCGTGGGCAAAGTATTCAATAAGAGTTAAGAGCGTATGTATACCGTAAGTATTTGAGTGTGAATACCAGGTTCAGTGAGTTACCATGTTGTACGGTTCGAGTATCATGCTTCAATTGCAATGGACTTCGAAAGTTGTATGGCACATTTGTGTGAAGTATAGGAGCGATATTTCAAAGTATGTTGTAGACTTCTCAACGTAAACTTGTAAAACATTGTTTCATATTTCAGAATTCATTTTAAAGTATGTGACCTTACTGAAATGTGGATACTGATATATCGACCTCAGATATATTAATACATTGATACATTGTTTGACTATCAATTTGCTGTTTTGGGTCTCAAACTCGATTCAATGAAGTCACGAAAAATATATTTATATTATAATGGACCATATATCGCTATTTTAGTGCAATCTCTTCATATTATTCTACTTACCAATATGTGTGTCAAATTGTACTGGGCTCTCAAGCTCAAGCAACGCCAAATCATTTTCGAAAGTCGCAGGATCGTATTGACGATGAACAATGACACGTTTCACATTCTTCGTAACAGCACGTTTACTCTCCAAATCGCCTGAGATATCAAACTCACCCATAACAGCGACTAATGAGGCCAGGAAACTGTTGGGGAAGAGTAGTGGAAAAATGTAAATTAGAAACAGAAAAGTCAAAAAGGTACTCTTAATTTCTACCATTATTTATTTTTGTACTCACCCTGGCTGACAATGCGCCGCTGTGATGACATAACGATTCGTTATCAAAACACCGCCACATTTGTTCTTGGTAAAAAGTCCCAACCATGTGGATTCACGTACGAGCACTTGCCATGGGTAAGCGCCGAATGTGGAACCTTTGCCGCCTACAATTCTGCCAGATTTGATGTGTGGCCGTACGCCGCATTCTGTCGATGGGGAGTGAAATGTGAGGTTAGGAGGTAAGGGAGAGTATAGCAACAGCATAGATGAGTGTTTTGCGAGGTGACGCTGGTCGGTGGTGGATGGTGATGCGATTGATTAACTGTTATGATGCCGAGGTGGATATTGGTAATGGTGAAGGTGTTTTGGTGGATGAAAATGCTTTGTGATAATTGTGGAACTGCTTAAGTTTTGAAAAATTTCAATGAACTTGAGAATTAAGATTGAGTTTCACGGGGAGAAACTTGAATGACATATCTTCGGACTGTATGTAGTTGGAGGAGGTGAAATGAGATGAGCACGGTGAAATAGGTGAAGTAGGCAAGAGAATTTTTTTGCGATTGAGTTTGGTTCAAACAGAGGCAAGTTTAAGAGGGCAAGTATAAGAGATGATATGGCGAAGTTGGTAAAAAAATGTTGGAGCTGATAAGTGAGGTTAAAGTGGGGAAAGTAAAAATTGATGAGCTTATAAGGGTTGGATTTTTAAGTTTATTGGGAATATTTTTTTCAAAGAAGGATGGGAATTCGTTTATGAAATATTCTTTAAATGGAGGCTTGTTTTAAAGGAGGGCATATATTTGGTTGAACAGACGCACTGTGATGATGAAGTCCGATGTTGATTTAAGGGTTGATGTAGTTATGTGAGTGCAAAGGTTAGCAAAATAGGGCGTGTTAATAAAAATGAGTTAATAATCGGCAAGCAAGTGCAAGAAACGTTTTGCACGTGATTGTGCGAGCAGGTGAAAACCATTTGCAATGCAGTAATGTGCGGGTGAGCGTGCGTGTGTGTGCGTGCATGAGTGTATGTCGCGTGCGTGCGTGTATTTGCGGAGTGTAGTCATACGGGGCAAAAGGAATGTGTGGGGTTGAGGAGGTGAGGGTGAGTGGGAGAGTTTAGTGTAAGTGGGTGGTGACAAATTAGAAGAAAAAGAAACAGAGTCGTTTCGGATTCTATGCATGGCAAACTAATTCAACACAAAAATCAAATCAAAAACAACAACAAAAACTTTGCCGTCACCAATACGGCAAATACTTACTAAATTTGCGTCCACCAGCACCAGCGTAAACTTCATCCTGGTCACCGATCTCATTATCTAATGGATTAACATCTTCTTCGTCCTCTTCGTCAACCAATTCATCTTGGGCTGGTGCCTGCGTTGTTGTTGTGGTTGTTAAACGACGTGTCGGCTTGCGCGTAGTTGGTCGTCGTGTGGTTGTTGTGGGACGTCTCGTAGCCGGACGTCTGGTGGTGATTGCTGGTCGACGTGTCGGTTGTTTGGTGGTGACACGTATTGCAGGTCGCCTGGTGGTCGGTTTCTGTGTGGCTATACGTGTTGGTTTTCTTGTGGGTTTGCGTGTCGTAGCCGCGCTACCAGCGTTTGCGCCGGCGGCTTGATATGTGGATGGTGGTCCAGCTGGTGCGGTATTATTTGTTTCGTCAATCATATCTGCCAGCGCGTCGAAGTTACCCTGCAGTGATTCGACAATCTTATGTACTAAAGTATTCATTTTATCCTTCAAAACACCATCTTCGACGAAGGCGGGTGTCGAGAGTTCCAAATCGGTGGTGACGGCGCTCGATGTTGCCGACATGTTAAGGTTGGGATTACGTACAGGTGGGAAGTTCACAAAGTCATTGGGTGATGTGTAGGTTTCCTCCTCAACTGGCGCCCCAAGTTTTTCACCAGGTATGGCGAAAGGCGGATAAGTTGGTGTTGGACCATAGTAGCCTGGGAAGGCAGGACGATCATCGGAGGGCACACCATACTCTGTATCGGCGATCGATTGCGTGAAGGCTGGATGTACGCCATTCTGTGCAACGTTTTGTCCGACATTCTGCGCACCATAATAACCTGGATCATCGAAGTCATTCGTTGTGACACCGGCTAGGTTGACGTATTCGGGCGTATTTATAGCCACGCTAGGACGTCGCGTCACTACCGGACTATAAATATATGATGTGCTGCTGAAGCCGGGCAATGGCGTTGTTGGTGGGAATGCGTTATCATCGAAGATCGTGTCGGCGCTGCTCGGTCTATGCGGCCAATCGCTATTTGTGATGAGTGTGAACAGCGTTGGCTTGGGTGTAATAACACCGTTAGTGGTGGATATGGGTTTTGATGTCACCTTCACGAAGCCTGGTTTTTTATGCACGTATGTATATTGTGGACGATCGGCGTATTGTGGCTTAGCATCACCGCCGTATACTTGCGACTGCACAGTACCATGTACAAAAACGTCCAGCTTATCGTCCGCAGTTACGATTGGCGGTACCTCGGAGTCGTGATAAATAAATGTTGTAGTCGGACGAGATATGGCTGGTGCTGCGCTTTCTACACTTGGTTTGCGTACAATGATGGGTCGATGTGTAGAGCTGTCTAAATGTTCTTGATTGAAGTTGTTGGACGGTTGTGGTGCTGGATAATAGGCGTCCGTTTCGAAAGTTGGTTGTGGTACTTTAAGATTTTGATCGTAAGCAGCATCCGGTTTGTCATAATCTTGACCATAGTCTTGTGAAGTTAGTTTGGTATCCTGAGAATATGTGTCGTAGTTGTCTGTTGGCAATTGGGCATCAGCGGGCACATTTTGTTCATCCACATGATCATCGTAGATGGCTGCCGTGTGACTGATGGGTTTACGTGTCGCCGTTGTTGAAGCATAAGTATTCGTTTGCTCATTATCATTGTATGCGGGTTTCCTGGTCACAGGCTCTGCATTGTAAGTGGGTCGCTGCTCTGGTCTCTGATAAACCGGTTCTGCATTGTAGGTGTTTGTAGCGGGTTTCGCGCTATTGTTATTGCTGAGCTGTGGCGCTGCAGTCGGACGCTTTACGTATGTCGGCTTGTTGTGCTGGTAGGTGGTGGCCGGTTGTTTCACTGGCCGCTTCACAGATTGTTTGGTGGGTTGTTTCGATGGTTTCTTCGCAGGTTGTTGGGTTTGGGCGTGCGAGGCTTGTACTGGGCTCTGCGCATAACCATTCTCTGCAGCGTTGTCATTGTAGGTGTTAGATGCTTGTTGTGCCGGATTCTTCGTATTGTAGTTGGGTTCTTGATAGTCGCTCGAGAGTTGCGCTGCTGGTTTCTTTGTATTAACATTTGACGCTTGATAACTGTTAGAGGGTTGTGTGGCTGGTTTCTTGTTATTATGATTTGAACCTTGATAGTTGTTCGAAGGTAGTGCAGCTGGTTTCTTTGTTTGTACCTGACCGCCGCCGTAATTATTGGCAGGTTGCGCTGGTGTCTGGCTGTAATTGCTCAAAGGCTTTGCTGTGGTCGGTTTCTTTGCTGCACTCGGTTTCGTCTTTTTGTTATTTGGTCGTGTCGTACTCGGTTTTGGGCGTGGCCGAGGGCGTGGTCTGGTACCGCTTGAGGTGATTATACCGGAAATAGGACGTGCTGTTGAGGTAACAGCAGATGCAGCATTATATTGCGGACGTTGTGGGATCGGCGTGGTAGTTGGAGTCAAATAGGCCGACGCGGTCGTTTTGCTAATTGTTGGACGTTGTGCGACAGTGCTTTCGTCGACATATTGGATTGTAGTTAAGGTGTCTGGTTTGGGTGTATGATAGGACGCGGCAGGCGCTTGTGTATCTTGTACTTTAGTCGCATGCGAAGAAACAGATACTTCTTGAGGCACATCGTTGTACACAACGGTTGTTGGCAATTTGGCGCCATTGTAATTCTGCACATTCACCATACCGTTGTATGGCGCTACGGGACGTTGTGGTTTCCCACTAATAATTGGTACCTGCGCATAGCTAGAGTCTGCTGTTTCTGCTTCATCTATTTTGTCGATTGTGCCCTGCGTGGTTGCATGTTGCTTATGACCGTAATTGTTTGCAATATCTGGTGCAAAGCTACCCTCTTCCTCCATATGTGACATATCAACTGGATACGCAATACCGAGCGCGGGCATTTTATTAAACTCGTGCGTTTGGTGTGATGACGCTTGCAGTACATCGTTATAATTATTTGCCGGCATCGTGTGTTCATCTTGCGCAGCGGCAGCATCTTCCGCATAGTTGACAGCGGTTGTTGCGCTATGTACCTCGTGTGTGACAGGCTTCGACACGTACGAATGTTCAGGCTGTTGTTGTGAGGGATGTAGGTCAGTGCTCACGGGCTCCAAATAAGCGGGTACTTGCGCTGTGACGGGTGAGTAGTTTGGCGTATTGGATTGTTCACTTTCACTATAGTAATCATCCGGACGTTTGGTCTCCACATCGTCATAATAATTTGTTGTTGCACCGCCATACACTGACTCACCCGTTGTGATAGGTGTAGTTGTGCCATAATGTAGACCACTATCGTTTGGTCCATATTTGCTTGCCGACGCATCGGGTTTCGCATCATAAGCGGCCGTTTGTGGTTGTTGCTGACTGACAATATTATAAGTGGGCCCATGGTTTGTGGTGCCATTCAACTGTAGTATTATAGATTCGATGGAGTCAACATGCGTGGTGATGGAAGTGCCCGTTGTAGTCTCGCCATATGTGGGTGGTCTTTTACTCGCCGCCTCATCGTGGACGCTCTGTACTAAATTGTATTTGTCTTCTGGCGCTAATGATGTATGCGTTGTTGTTGTAGGCTGATAGCTGATGGGCGAGGGTTGACGGACAGGTGCTTCCATGTACATCGGTTGTGGGCCATAGCCAGTTGAGAATTGCAGGTCATCCTCGATTAAGTCGGCATCGGCACCGGGATGTGTGATGTCGCTGTGTGTGAACTCAGCACCGTCAAGTAAGAGGTGATTGTGGTTATGTTGTTGTTGTTGCGGTTTTTGCTTCTGCTGTTGTGACTGTTGGTTTTGTTGTGGTCTGCCCGGTTTCCTTTGTAGTTGAGGCCGAAACATTTGTACTTGTGGTCTCTTGGTTTGTTGTTGTGGCTTTGGTTTTGGTTTGGATTGTGGTTTGGCGGTTTGAGGATCTTGCGACTCTGTTTTCGAATCTTCTTCTGTGGTATTTGCTTCCCAGTCGTTGCTTTGCACTGGATTATGTGTTACTGGCAACTCTTCAAAAGAGTTTGACTCCGATGAACTGTTTGGTTCAGTGAGTCCATTCACAATGCGCATTGGCAGACCCGTTGTGGTAAGTGAGGCTGGCTCTTCTTCGAATTGTGGGGGTAATGTTGTGCTTAGCAGGTCCAAAACGAAGTCATCGTTTAATGGTGGCGCTGCGGTAGTAAACGATACATGCACAATATTGGTATTTGCAACAACTAAATCTGGCTGCATTTGTGCGTCCGTTTCCAATTCTACGCTAGAAGATTGCGTGCTCGAATCTGCACTACCTGAATTGGATTGTGATGTGACCTCAAACAAAATAGCTTGATTTTCTTGCTGTTGTTTTTGCTGCTCTTGTGTTTTCTCCTGCTGTTGTTGATGCAATTCCTCCTCCTGCTGTTGACTATCAGCTTGCTGACTCTCCACTTGCATGGATTGCGGTTGCTCGTAAAATGAAGCAGTGGGTCCAACTGACGGTAGAGATTCCTGTTGTGCGCTTTCCAGCGACTCCATCATATATAATGTGCTTGTGTTGGGCACTGATTCCTGCGATTGGTACTTGTTATTGGGCGAATCTTCTTGCTGTGTATGCAGTGCTTCATAGGAAGTGGCCGCGTTACTGCTACTCTCCAACTGCTGGAAGACTTTATCGATATTTGTTTGCGTATAGCTGTTCTCGGGTGGTTGAACCTCTTCGGAAGCCGTATTCCCCACATTACCATAGATGGGTTTTGGTAATTGTGGTTTGTATTTCTGCTGCTGTTGTTGTTGTGGTTTCTGTACGCGCTGTGGCTTTGGCTTTGGCTTGAAAGTTGGCGGACTATATTTGGTCTCTTGCGTGTGTTGTTGCTGGTTCTCGCCATATGTTTCGTAAGATTGTGCCACCGCTTGATTGGCGCCGCCATATTCATCTTGCAACTTTTGCTGTTGGTGTTGTTGGTAGTAGGAGTTTTGTGCATCATTTAGCAGCGTAGTTTCGAGATCCTGTTCGCTGGGTATTTGACAACACGCGCCAAAAAGGAAACCATCCATACACGCGCCCACCACTTCGCCATTGCGTTGCGCACATTCGTGATTGAACATACAGATTGTGGGTCCATTTCTACGTGAGTCACTCACTGCTAACGTTTTTGTGGCGCGACAATGCTTCGGTGTTATCCGGTAGCCGCCGAAGAGTTTTCGTCCTTCTGAAAGATGAACAAGCAAAAGTTAGGATTAGTAATCTATTATCAGATATTTTTTATAAAAATAAACGATACGATTATCCTGTGCTTTTCTATTTATCTGTCAATCTGTCTCTCTAACTAGCAATCCATTTATCGTTCTATCCAACTGTCCATTTAACTATTTCAATGAATATTTGTTTGTTCGTTATACTATATAGATGCCAAAACTAGTTGGCTTAGTAGAGATATTTTTAAGTAGGGTTGCCTCCTTTATCAATGTATATAAAAAATTAAAAATATTAAATAAAGATAAAACGCGTTCGTAACCTAAAATTTTTGGGAAAATCTTAGATAATTTTAACATATATTGAAGTAGAGTTGCCACCTATCGTATGAAATAAAACTGAAAAAGCACAATAAAATGTACCCAAAACAGGCCCTTGAGTGTGCATTATTTTATTTTAGTTATATTATGTGTGGTAGTTGCCACCTATATTTTTTTCCAAATTCTAAAAATAAAGCTATGGCGCTCTGTCTACTATCATAAAACCTTTTTGAATGTTTAAAATTTCCTTTAACAATCTTTTTTTGTAATTTATAAATTTTTGAAGTGAATTTAAATTGCAATTACATAATTAATTCACTGATTTATTAAGTAACATTCAACTAATTTTTATCACTCAAAGAAATCTCAGTTCGTTGACATGGCAAATCGAAAGATTTACCAGTAATAATTGACCTAACGTATTTTGTAGCTCAATCAAGCAATCCGAGTAGAAAAATGTTTAAGTTTTAATTAACTCACTGTCAATTTGTCAAATTGGTGGTGTGAAAAATGAGAAGTGTAAAGAAGAAAATATTTAGACAAATTCTAATGGAAATGGAAAGTAATTACTGCATTTGTAATTATGAAGAAATATAACAGTTGAAATGCAAAGTCATAGTAACGTACCAAGAAAAATTTAAATCTCACAAGTCTGAAAAATTAAGAAAACATTTTAAAAGAAATCTAAATTTTGACATTTTTGAGGTTATGAGCGCTTATAAACAGATAGTATGCATTTAGTTTGGTACATTAATGCAACTTCAAGGCCAATCGTTGCATAGAAATCGTAATGTTAGTAACTAGCACTTAGTTTGGAGGTTATGATTACTCCCTTTCAGTCTCTCTCTCTCTTTCTTGATGGAGTCAAACTACTGCATATATATATATATAACTATGTTGAATTGAAAATAGTTTCTATATGCTTTTAACATATACTTCCTATAAAAAAAAAAAAAACACTCCATAATAACATATTTCCTATGTAAATTCTTCTTTCTCTTTTTTCAAAACCATCTATTTACTTTAATTTGTTCATGTCAGTCAACAGATTTGTCATTCTCTAACGATGACTTTTCGCGCGAAATCAATCTATTTATCATTAATTTCCTCTTTGCTCTCCTACCAACATTTACTTAGCCTCCCTTGACGACGGGCTGCTGATGAAGATGTACTCAGACATAAATCAGTTGAAATTTTGGCGTGCGGTGTGTGGTAATTGCTTGAAGCGGGCGTTGTGAAAGATTTATGTTATGTTTCTTTTGCTACACTTTTTTCAATTTTGTGCCAGAATCGGTCATTTGTTATTCTGTTTTGTGTGCTTGTTGACTTCATTGCGAGCGTTTGTATCACCTCTTTTCTTTTTATTGTAATGTATGACATGTTATTTAGCTATTGTAGTTACTTTTCTTTTGAAATATGTTTCTTTCGATTGAATATTTTTTCAATAATTTTTGATAATAGCTCATTTTCTCAGACTTTATCTTTGTGGAATCTAATAGTTTCGACGCAAACGACTATTTTCAGCCATTAATAACATATAATAAAATAAAGAGTACAGTTAGTGAAAAATCGACAAAATCTAGGATCTACTCCTGGTCAATATTCATTAATGATAGTAAGATTTCTGTTATTGGAAATCTATTTAAAGATTTATTTCTGTTCCGTGTGGATATTGTCGAAAAAAGCGTGATCTTGTTTAAGTTCTGGTTAGTTCCATAAGATGAGTATTTGAGTTGCTATTATAGGAAAATCTCTTAAAGAAGAAGGTGTAAAAATAACTTTTCTTCCAATAACAATCTGGTTAAAATACATTGGTACCCTATCGTACTAATCATTCATGGATTGTCTGGCTGCAAGTACTGCCATTTAAAACAATTTGCATGACCTAGACTCATCAAAACGAGCACGTAGTAGTTTTTATGAACCTTCGACGTTAGCGAGCAGTCGTAAAAAAGCAAATGTGATTCATATTTGATCAGAATTATAGTACATTTGTGTGGCTTCGCTTAAGTTTGATAAAATTTTGACTCATTTATGTGCATATCCATATAATGAACAGTTTTCTCTGCTTTATCATAATTTGTTCCGATAAGCTCTCAATACATACACGTGTAGTATATATATACATGTATACATTGAATGTAATATTTCTTAGAATTTGTATCGCCCGTTAATATATGAATTTCTCGTTTACTAAAAATAGTATTAATAGCTTTAAGTCGTTTAACGCTCACACATTAACTCAGTTCTAAAGAAAGCGAAGAGGATTTACATTTAAAATTAACGCATCCGCATTCGTTTCGTTTCGCCAAGCATCGTTTATCCATTTGCTATTCATGATGATCAGTGATCGCTTTGGCTTACGCAGTACACATACTCGTATTATCGACGCGTGCGCAGTTGACCCAGTTATACATTTCCCATATCGAATGCAATGTGAATAATTGAAGAATGAAAGCGATGCGATTAGGCTGACATGCTTAATGACTGACCAACTGGGTGGATTGAGTGACTGTTGGATGACTATTAAAGTGATTATGAATGAGCATATGTCTAAACAAATTGTTGTGTGCGTATAATGTGTGATGCTGTGACCAATATCTGCCGCGGCCAGACATTATTACAACAATGTAATAACACGACGTTAATTAAAATAGAAAAAATATGTGGTTTGATACAACTGGATTATTGGATTGAGAACGAAATCATTTTTTTTAGTATATTTTTTCTAGTATATACATAGTATGGGGAAAGGGCTTCGAAAATCGTCAATATCGTGTTAAAAATCAATTTGGTTTAATTAGCTGTAATTTGTAAGTAAAAATGAAAGGGAAATCGGTTTTTAAGCGAAATGGAAAAGAATTTACTAAGCTAAAAAACTAAAAAAAAAAAACGATCGAGAAATCACTTTCGGCATTTCACTTTACTTTTGACTGCAGCAAGGCAACCGGTCGGCAATAAGTTCCAATAAATGCGCACTCAAACGAAAGTAAATTGCGAACTGTCGATTTTTAGCTTACGCGCGCAAATCGCACACACATACACAAAGGCAAAAATGTGGTTGCGTTTCTACCAACGCATCTGCACATCATTGCTGTAGATTTTATTTGTACTACAAGCGATAAAGTGAAAGTAACTCAAAGGTAATCGCAAGCAAAATGCTTCGGCGTCACGCCGGCCAAACTATTGAGTAGAATACTAAATATATGTATATATACCTATTTATGTATATATGTATGCGTGTGGTAGCAAGGGGAGTGCACGAAATTAAGAATTTAATTGCCGACCGCAAAAACAATGTATATAAACCATATTGTTGTTGTAATTTATGTTTTGCAAAACTATAATTTACATGAATGCCCATTTAAAATTTGAAATGTGAACGCCACTCACCAACTTTGAGTACTGCAAAAAACAATTATAATAAATTCATTTTCGCTTACTCATGTGTTTGTTTGTGTTGCGATAGAAGTGCCATCGTTTGTGGAATGATTTGCCAAATTTTTTTTTTATAGCAATGTTGGAAAGAGTTGAAAGAAAGCGATAGTGATGATTCGGAAATTGAGTGATTATGGCTTATATGAATTTATGAGTTTTTTGCTCTTTTTTATTTAAATTTTTGGTTCGCACTTAACGGTGTTTTACGGCTATATGAATATTGAGTTGATGTTGTTGATAGGGACAACTTCAGAAAAGTTGTTTAGAGTAAAAAAAAATTAATAATATAATACAAATAAATATAATAAAAATATGAACTTCAATTGGAATTAATTAGCAAATCAAATTTATTAAGTTGAAAGAAATATGTTTTTAAACTGAAATGAACTTTTATGACTGATGTTGAATTGAAAGGCGGGAACCAAACCTAAATTTAATTGTGAAAATTATTTTTTATGGACTATGAATGTGCTATATTAAGTTTGCGATAGCATAAGAGTATTAATTTTTACAATTATGTTGTATTAATAATAAATATGCGTAATGTCCTCACCTTTTCTAAAATTCTATTTCAAATATAAATAATTATCTTTTAAAATATCTCCTCTCTGCATTGATTTTATTTTATCAGTATCAACATGGCCATCGTGGTAAAAATAACATAAATCTTGTCAAATTAGTTCTGAAATTTTGCACAGTGGACCATTCGCATTAAATTAGGGAATATAAAGGTTTAGAGACGCGATATTAATTTATTTGACAGCTCGCAACAAATAAATGTAAATTTTAATTGCCGGCACGCCCCCGTATTTGTTTATAGCAATATAAACAGTGACCAAAATGTATCGAATTGCTACACCGAGGGTTCTAAAATTTATATGGCGGCAAAAATAAAACATATTCCTTTTATTGTCTAACAATACCGCACAGTGTGACGTTTTCATAGAAGCATAGATACAAATCTAAACGATCATCAATTGGTTTAGGATGCGGTATGCAGGTTTAATTTTCTACATTTCGAAGAAGATTTGTGTAAAATGTAGCACAGAGTTAGTTCGATTTTTTTATTGACTCAAAGAGTTGAATTTTTGGGTATTTTTGTAATGAAAACTAGTTAACATGTATAGTTAAAAAAAAAATAATAAAACAAAAAAAATTATAACTTCGGTTGCACCGCAGCTATAATACCGTTCACAAATAGAAAGAAATTTTTGCAAGAACTTGATACCGATCCTTCAATTTGTATGACAGCTATTTG